GGGATTGAACTCGGGTCCTTGCACTTGCAAGGCAGGCCACTGAACCGCTGAGCTAAATCCCCGGCCCTATAAGAAGTATTTAACTTCATACTTGGTTATATCCTAGTTAACACTACTGTGAAGAATTAATATTCACATTCATGCCAGACATGGTGGCACATTCCTGTGATCTCATTACTCAGGAGGCTGAGACAGGAGAATCTCCATGGGTTTAAGGCTAGCCTGAACTATATAGTAAGTTCAGGGCCAGCCTGAAGTACCTTGTCCCAAAAAATAAGCATATTCAGCTCAGCACAGTATTTATTCTCCTACTTTTATGAGAATTTACATATGAATCCACATAATTATTTTTCTCACTTACCAATACTACATCATTAATGAAAACTGAATAAAGGAAATTAAAAATAAGTGATATATACTTTTTTCCATCCGCTCCTTTTATTCTTTAGGTTACATATAAAATAGTAAGAGAAAATGTTATAAATAAAAATAAATCTTATTTACAATTAAAATTCCAAAGCTAGCAAACTACAATTGTCCCTTCTTTAGCTAATAAACTAATTACTCTTATAAGACAACTTGCTAATTATTCTTACACATATTACCCTTGGCTTAATTTTTAATCTATAACAAGCAGAAAACTTTGATCAGACCAGAACAAAGCATTTTGTCTACTTCAAAGGCATTATTACATTTATTCAACTTTATAAAGAATCTTCATTTTACAAGTAAAACTTAGAAAATTTAAGACTTGACCCCAGTCCCACAAAAGCAGTAAAGATTCAACTCTATCCTCTAAAAACAAACAAACAAACAAACAAAAATATCAACTCTATTCTCTGACTCCAGTGCTTGCACATAACATTAGATAAATGCATAAAATGGCAAATCAGGGCTAATACTGTAGCTCAGCTTTACAGTGTGTGCTTCGTACATGCAGAGTTCTTGGGTCAATCCCCAGTATATGCACAAGCACACACATGCATGCACACACATACACACAAGACACACACTGAGTTTAAAGCTACTAAAAATACCAAAGCTACTAAAATACCAAAATTCTTATAAAGGTACAAAAGAAATTTTTTTCCTAAAAGAATTTTGATTTTTTTTTTCTAATTTCAATAAAAAAGGTAAGTCTAAATGACCAAATATTAACAACGAAAAAGAGCTTTTTGACATAGAGCAAGATATTTGTTCTTTCAGTGGATAAAAATGTTTGATTTGAACATACTGCAAAAACAAGAATTGGAACTAAGTTTTACCTTGTAGGAACAGGGACCTCAGTCAACCCTGAGAGGAGGACGGCAGGAGCCAGTCTAACGAATGCAATTATAGGCCTTTCCAAAAAGTCTACTTCTCCCACCAGAACATTGGATGCCTCGGCTCCCGTGGGAATTTTCCTCATGAAATTCATGTCAACCTATTAAATAAGTAATAATTACAAATCAAGTTTTCACAGTACTTACTAGTTACAGGGAAACAGGAAAGAAGAATGCTTTTAAACACTATTTGCTAATCAAAACCTGATCTAAACAAATTTATGAATGCCAAAATTTCCACACATATAAAGAATAAAATACACAAATACAAAGAAGCAAACAAAATATTTATCAGTACTACTGTTGTAACTGTCATAATCTTTGCTATTTCAGAGATTTAAACTATCAGACATAAAACTTGGGAAATTTTTTAATGAATATAGCATTTGTCGTTAAAAACTACTAAGGACATATAGTTCACAAACTAACAAGGATTCATGAAATTATACACAGTGATAAAACATATTCATTATTTCCTACGGGTTAATTTTAGAAATGAATGAGTCCCTTTATATTTTATATGCTTGTAGGTCTCCCTTTAAAACAATTCTAACATTCCCTAGTATTTTCATTAAGAAGAAAATTGTTATTTACAACTAGAATCTATAGCCTTTACTAGTTCAGATACATGATAATGCCATAATAAATAAAATTTAGTTGCCTGTGTATAATTGCAAGGAAAAGACTACAAACATGGTATTAAGTCATGTCAACTTCTTTATTTATACACAGTTCCATACAAGTCACTAAACAACCACTGACAGGGCTAGCTATTAAAAAGAAAACCAGCACTTACAGCGGGCCTCTTGAGTCCCACACCCAGTGTGCCACAACTACAGTGCCAGGAGGCAGACTCCTGCCCAACAGGAGACAAGGAGGTGTACACAAGGATAGGCCAAGTAAAAAAAAAGTACAACTGTGACAGAGGAACAAAAATAAATGGCAACTGCCATGTCTAGAGGCAATCTATAATGGAAATTACATTGACTTATACATTTAATAAGAATAAATCACAACTTAATTATGAACACTCTCTAATTATCTGAAATAATAGTGTGCTAGTAAAAGTAGTATCAGGAGAATTAAAACCGTAATAGTCTTTCCATCTAGCCAAAGTCCTTACTGCAACACCTGCTATAATTTTAAGGTGTGAGGCTCAGCAAAACTATAATATAAGTCATTTAAATTATTTTATGTAAAATGTGACTTAGAAGCTTCACGTGACAGAATAAAAGGCCTAAAAAGAAAGGAAAACCTTGCTTGACATATCATATTTAATAAAAAGCCTTACATTGGATGCAAAATTATTTAGGTATCCTGTAGCAAATTAATAGAAAAAATTACAATAGCTACATACAATCGTTTGTAAGTACTCATAATGTACATTTTTAATTCCTTTATAATTTAAGCTCAGTTTTTGTCCTGTTTTGAAATAAGTTCTTTTTCCTATTTCAATTATTCATCAAACAAATAAAAAAATTATAGTTGAGAATCTTTAAATCCATGCCTTTATCTACCCATGGGGAAGCACCAATATATTTCTCAGTGACATTCCAGAACGTGCTAATACCACAAGACAGTAATTCTGGGATTACATTACAGCCCAGGGAAGAGCTGTAAATATCATTCCCAGAATTAACCTTTCTAGTGGTGGTAGCTCCAGAATAAATTATTGCATTTCAAAATATAACAAAATTTCATGATATCTACGGGTAGGTATAGACGAAAATACCATACTATTTATATAGCTTTTTTTCAGCACTGTTAAAACTAGTAAGCATAGTTTTTCAAATTCTTGGAGGTAACCTTTCTCACAATTTCTGACCTTAAATTAACATATCACAAGTATCACATGTAGATATGTAAATAGCAGTCTACTAAAAAATTATTGTAATTGTTATCAATGCCACAAACTACAAGTTAATTTCTCAATAATAGTGATTATGAAATAAAATGAAAACATATAGTTAATGACTAAATTACCTTGCTGAAATCAACAGTACTATTTTCTCTGCTTCCTCCACTTCCATTACCTTTAATTTCTCCACTTTTGCTAATGTCCAAGTTTCCAGGAGCCGACTGTGGAGAGGCTAAGATACCTGTATTTAAGAAAAGATACACGATTCTGAATTAATAAGGAGATAATTCACTCTGTAGCAACTCTGATCACATCCTGAAAGTGACAGATTATAAAAGCGAATGTGCAAAGTTAAACAAAGAAAAAAGTGCCAGGTGTTAGTACCATACTAGCAAAACTAGAAAAATATTTTAAGCAATGATGAAGCCATACATTTTAATACTTAAAATAACTGGAATTTATAAAAACGGTGGCCTTCTGAAAAAATAAAGTGCATAAATATGGAACCACAGAAGATGGAAGAAAAATCTAAGTCTGAATACCACTGCAAATACATCAATTGCACTGAGCTGAGCCATTCCCAACTACACATAGCATGGTTATACCAAGAACTATACAACAGCTATAACTCAGAAGCTAGTTTCTTAAGACTAAAATTTTCTTTTCTTTAGCATTTATATTTGTAATGTCTACTGTCATTATTCCTAAGAAATACAACTTTAAACTACATGTTTTACAATATAAGTGCCAAGATTAAGTTTTATAATTCACAAGGCTGATGTGCAATTAATTCCCTAACCTACGATTCAGACAAACCTATAAAACTAGCTTGTGCTTTATGAGTTGTTTGGATAGTTGTTTTGATAAACTCATGATCAAGCATTAGTATATTTAACTCAAGTGACATTCAACGACATTTTATAGCAATCAGCTGACCCACACGACAACCCACAGTTAACAATACAAATTCTGCAAAAACTTCAAATCTCAAAAAATTTAAAATTTGCCAAACACAGTGATGCATTCCTGTAATTCCAGCCCTGAAAGATGCTGAGGCAGAAGGAACCCAAGTTCCAGCACAGCCTGGGCAACTGAACAAGACCTTGCCTCCAAATAAAAAAAAATAAGGGCCGTGCACATAGCTCAGCACAAAGTCTTTGGGCTCAAGGCCCAGTACCACTAAATGAGTAAATAAAATTCAAGTACATTTCACAGATTTCTATCATTAAATGCATCTTTTTTTCAAAACACAAAAGATTTTTGATATCAAGAATATAAATTAATATTCAAAACACTGAATATCACAGTTACTGAAATACAACAAACTTGGTTTTGTCAAAACTAGTGATCCACAGAAATTCCATTAAAATTTACCTTGTAGTTAAGAGTATATAATCTTTGGGGCCGGGGATTTAGCTCAGTTGTTGTTGCTGCCTGCCTTGCAAGCGCAAGGACCGGAGTTATCTAAAAAAAAAAAAAAAAAAAAAAAAAAAAAAAAAAAAAGAGTATATAATCTTTGAAGTTAATACTAGTTATCAAGATATTAGATACACCTGATGCATTTAAGAGTTTTTAGTTTTGTAGAAGTATAGCTGATGAATACTGAAATTAAGACATTTGGGTTTAAAGTCAATTACAAAGAATTCTTAACCACTTCTCTTAAATACATAAATTCTCACTATGACTTTAAAAATGAGTATAAAAATACCTGTTATTGAGCTCTGTGCTCATTCTCTGAAAAATTAAACAGTTCTGAAGTGAAAACTAAGACATTTTTCATAATGTTTAACATGGAAAAGAAATTAAGACTTCTCTCTGACTTTTGTCCCTTTCTAAAATAACATCCTTTCTTCCTTGTCCAAGGTGAGAGGAGTTTATCAAATTTTTTCAGTAGTTTCCACCTATTTCCCACACAAGATAATCAACAAAAATATAACAAAGGCACTGGTGACAACTATAACTTAGTATTATTTTCAACTGCTTAGCTGTGTCAATCTGTGGATATATAATCAAGAGAATGTGTAATTCTGTACATAGATTTTCAGAATAATCGCAGCCATCAGATTTTGGGGAAAACAATAAAATGAGAAAGTTGTAGAGTAACATTATGGTTGGAAGATATAATATGGAACACAAATATACAGCTAGAAAGCATTATCTGAAGCCACATAGCTAACCTGGTCATCTTAAATCTGTCCCTTTTCAAAATCAGCAAGATGTATGGGCTGGGGATTTAGCTCAGTGGTTCGGTGGCCTGCCTTGCAAGCGCAAAGACCCAAGTTCAATCCCCGGTACCCAAAAAACAACAACAACAACAAAATCAGCAAGATGTGTTTTTTTCTATAAAATGGAGTACTACTCAGCCATAAAGAACGAGAAACTAGAAACATGCATAGCTAAATGGATGCACATAGATTGAGGCTATAATCTGAAGTGAAATAAATAGGACACACAAGTAAATATCGAATAGTTTCTCTGGTGTGAAAAACTAAAAATGTAAATAAGGTTCAAATGCTATAATTGAGAGGATGAAATAGGAAGAAAATAGCTAAAGGGGAAGTGGAAAGGGGAGGGGAAAGGAAGTAAGGGAAATAAAGAAAAAATGTGAAAAAAAATGGAAACAAAGTCTTTGTAAATAGGGAAGGGTGAAGGGGGTGAAGGGAGGGCAGGAGTATGGGAAAAACATAAGAACGAAGATATACCATGTAAAGGTACAAGATCCTAATGATAAATTAACTGTATTGTTTGCTTTAAATGTACCAATAAACTTAATGGAAAAAAATCAGCATAGTGGGTGCATACCACTATGAGTTTCCTACCATTTTCCTCTCTGTGTAGTCCTTCCAAACCTCAGCTAAGTTAAAGCTGTTTTCTTAACTAGTAAAATCAATAAATTCCTAAGACTTAGAGTTAAGTCACCCCATCAAAATGTATTTCATCATTAGCACAGATAACTAAGAATAACTGTATTTCTTTGCTTGAGGAAAAAAATATATAATCAATGAAGGGATTTAAACATTGTATTCTAGTAAACCTATTATTTTATACTTGTATTATTTTTAAATAGCAAGTCTAATTGGAGAAAAGCAAATCAAAGATTTCACTATCTTCTGTCATTAAAATGTTGAAAGTAGTAACAGAGCAAGTGGCTCTAAACCAGGGAAGATCATGGCCCAAACCTATTTGGTTGACTGAACTGGGGAGAGCAAGTCGCAGCTCATACACAGAGACCAGAGATGCTGCTTAGTAGTACTGTCCTCTCAAGCCACGACATGCAGCAAAGCATCATCCAGCCCAAACTGACATCAGTGCCAAGACTAAGAAACAATGAGTTAGAAAAAAGCATACTTACAAACACTAAAAATGAATTCACCTTTTTTACAAACTAGTCTCCAAAGAATACCTAATCTATTTTCTTTTTGAATATGGATATGCACAATGATGACTATGACACTGGCCTCTCCAAGATGACGCTGAAGCCACTTTTCTCTAATACAGTATCAGACTTCAAGGAAATTCTGTTGGCATTTCTAAGTGCTTCAAGCACCAGACATAAACAGGAAATAATGTAGTGGTGCTCCCATGACTTCCTCTGTAATTACCAATCTTCTACAGATGTCCTCTTAAATAATAATCTTTTCCTTGTCTTCAGAAATTCTCTCCCATTTTAATCTTTTCAGAAAAGCTTTTAAATCTTATTGCAAAGAATATGAGAAAAAAATGTTTCTCAATTGCTAATTGCTCCTTTTATAACCTTAACACAGACTAAACAAGGCATTGTGAACCTATATATATATCATTTCCGTTTTAATAAAAAGTATAGTCCCTTATCATTCATAACAAAGAGTCTGATAAAACAAGAAATGTTCAGTGTTACTGAACGATGTGAATCAGATAAAAATAAATGTTTAAAATCACCTTTATTCAAGAAAGAAGAGAAAGGATTCCTTGTTCTTTTTAATAAGGTGAAAGATGTTATTTCTGAGTAATTATTTCTGGGGATTTTTCCCCTCCTTTATGTTTAGTTTCCTCATTATTAAGCTTTAACTTTTGAATGAATTATTAGTAAAATTCACAATAAAACACTACCCTACTGATGTTGTAAGTAGATCTGAGTTCAAATCTCTATTTACAATTTGGTTTTATTATCTCTAAATCATTTTTTCATTTGTAAAATAGTAGTTAATATCAACCTCATCAAACTGCTGTAATAATTAGAAATATTTCCATCTGATAACCTATTACTGTGTCTAAAACAAACTATTAAACAATGGTAGGTATAATTATAACCATATAATTTCCATTCATATTTCTAAAAGTGTATCTTTCTTTGCAACTATAGTTAACTTTAATCAAATGTACTTGGTTTGATTGCATAAAATCAACAGAGAGAAAGAGGTCTTTCACATAGCGGCAAGAATACAAGAATCAGCAGGCACATGACTTAGGCTGTTTCACTTGCTAGCTGTAAGACCCAGGAAAAGTGGACCAACTTCTGAGTTTGAAAATGTGTACCTAACTCACACAAATTGCCATATACACTGAATAGGATAATTTAGTAAATAAGAAGCCACTGAAGTGTTAGACATTATAGGAAGGTTGGAAAAATGTAATAATACTGATGTGAATAAAATCACTAGTTAGGGGCTGGGGATTTAGCTCAGAGGTTCCGCTGTCTGCCTCACAAGCCCAAGGACCAGAGCTCGATCCTCGAACCACTCTCTCAAAAAAAAAAAAAAAAAAAATCACTGGTTAGTACTGGTATGAATCATATTAATGCTTAGTCACTAAAGAATAGTTTTTTTGGGCAGGGGGATCAAACACAGGACCTTGCACTTGTGAGGCAGGTCATGGAACCACAATGAGCTAAATCCCCAGCCCAAACATACTTTATGAAATTTAGATGAAAATAGGTACAGGTATAAATTTTTATATGATTAATGTGTAAGATCCAAAACTATCATAATTTATAACCCTTAAACAAAACAAGCCATAGAAAGTTTTAATTACTAAGAAATCATTTCTCTAATTCACATATGAAAAAAAACACACCCCTAACTGTAGAAACTGTGATCCTTAAAATTTCAAGAAGTTTTACATTAAAGGCATATATGGCATTAAATAAAGGACAACTAAAGTCTATTCAGAAATACTAGTCTTAAAATAATAATGATTCTAGGGAGGTAGATATTAGAGAACCTTAATCTTCACAGAGACAAAATGAGAAAAAGAATGATCTTCTCTTAAAGGATAAAGAATGCTATATTGTTTGGAGAAGAAAAAAAACATCAAATAGATAAATGGCCCATCACTTCATTGTCTTTATATAAGTGTGTTCATTTATTCTACAAGTGAATGCATATCATTTTTTTAAAAAGTGACAAAATATTAATTATAAAAAAATCCCTGTTTTCTGAACTACATTCACAAGCCTCAACCACTAAAATTTTGGTGAAAACCTTGAAAAGGACTTAAGATTGTATGTAGTTTTCTCTCTAGTCTTTTTATAACTTAAACTTTTCATAATTCTAATCTACATTATACTATAAATGAAAAAAAAACATGCAGAAGTCAAAATAAATTATAAGCGTTATCTACATATGCTGCTCAAGTTATGTGCTTAAAGGCATTCCAAGTGCAAGTGATCCAGAGGCACAAAGCACCACACATGGAGGACTGTGAATAGTTGCCTGAAGTTAAGTCAACATCTTCCTCATTCTTCTGCTCCTGGCCTTTGAGAGCTTCTAAGTCTTCCTCAGGCGGATGAATGACTACAGTGGGGATATCATCACTGGCAGGTGAGACCAGTAGCTCTGGGGCCTGAGGCTGCCTCTGCTGGGAACTTCTGGAGGTCAGGCGACTGAGGTTAGGGCTGGAAGGAGGGCTGTTCTGAGGGGTGGGCACTGGGGTCGTGCACCTCGAGCTTGCAGGGGTTCCAGCTCTTGAAGAAGGAAGAATGTGGCTGAGAAGAAGAGATAAAGGCGACTCTCCTCTCAATGAAAGGTTTGAGGCAGAGAGACCTGTTCGCAAAGAGTGGCGGGAGGCTGAAAGGCCTTCCCCTGAGATAAAACAAATAAATAAAAATAATGAAGTTTACTGCAGAAGGCAAACAGAGATACAAAAATCAATAAACACTGTAAACTGCAAGCTTTAAAGGCCCCAAATATCCAGTTCATGCTGTGAGATTTAAATGTCAATCAGATTCTTAAATATTAGAAAGTCACTGAAAAGTGGCTTAAAATGTAATTTGTTCCGTGAACATATAATAAAAGGGAAAAAATGGTAGGGAACAATATTCCATTAGAAATTAGTATGACCAACAGTATGACACTTTTAAAAAGGACAGTCACTACAAAATTACTGCTTAAATAATTAATAAATGGCAGATGAAAAAACAAAAATCAGAAAGAGAACCAAACCAAAACTTACCAGTACTGACAGCTTATATTCAGTATATTTTTCCTACATTGTACCAAATAGCTACAGATAATTATTTCTTACAAGATAAATCCACATTAACAATACCTAAAAATTTCTAACATAAAATTGCTATTAAATATTTACAATGTAAGTTAATAGGACAAGGTGGTACTCTTAAGTGAAGTTTAAAAAAAATAACAAAACAAACTATGGGAACTTTTAATGAAAGGATAGACATTATTGAGCAATCTAAGATATTTAGTAGTAAACATCCTAAGGTTATTTTCTTGCTTCTAATATCACAGATCCACTTAATCGAACACATGCAGTCACTGAATTAACTAGGTAAAAAGCATGTAATCAGCAACAGCTGTAAGGCAGTAAATCTACAATATTTCAAAAGATCATGCATACTTATACTTAAAACATCTAGTATTTCTATTAGTGCAGCATAAAAGAATAATATTCTTTTTTTTTAAGGAGAAATGTAAGAAATGCAACAAGCCCCTATTGCCTAAGTTATCTAAGCTACATGCTCAAGAGATCCCAGAACTATTATACCTACTAACCTTTAATCCATAAACAACCATATTTAGTTAAAACAAGCTACATACAGAAAGTGTTAAATTACAACCACAATACAGAAACATGATAAAATGGCAGCTAAAAGAAAACAGTCATTGTCTTATGATTAAAAGGAATCAAATTACAGTTGCAGAATAATAAGAAACCACTGCATACAAGGAATAAAAATTTAATAAAATCTCTTTGGGTAAAAATTAGATTCAATAAAGCAGAAAATATACAGAAAGGCAAATTGTGCCATATATGGCTTACTTTTAAATTAAACAGGTTCACAGATTTTTTTTTATTCATTCTTAAGGCTCTTTAAATATATCAAGGGATAATTTTAAAGGCATAAAAGTTTTAACGATAAAATGGTCAAATAAAGTATCTCACACTGAGCTACAAATGATTACTGTCAACTTTAGGAGTGTTAAACTCCATCACCTATGGCTGTTTGCTTGTACAACACTTACAAGTCATACTATCCTTTCAGGGAAAGAAATGGAAAGCAGAATGACACTGCCCACTTGCATCATCACTGTAAGATTCATAAGCTTTGGGCCACGGTAGCATCTACAGGTAATAATGAGCCTTGTAAACTACTCTGATCCTTGGCACCTGAGCTCTAGGTTTGCTGTCATCACTGTTCATCTTGAGGGCCAAAATAGAACCCTAGGGTTATATTCCTCCACCTTCAACAGATGAAAGCAGGGCAAACCCTCCCAGTGTGTCAGCCTAAGTCACTGTAGAGAGGGAAATCACTACAAAAACACTGTCTTCTCCAAGAAGAGAACAGAGATGGAGTTTGTGCTCCTGGGTCTCAGCCATTCCCCGTGACCCCACTGAGTTACCCTTAGTGTAACACAGGTCTGTCATAAACTGTAAAAAGATCAGTGAGATAGAAAAACCAATCCAAAACTACTGGCTTATGCCAAGGTATATACAGTATATGCAGGAGACAAAAAGGAAAGAAACAAAACAACTGTAAAAAGATCAGTGAGATAGAAAAACCAATCCAAAACTACTGGCTTATGCCAAGGTATATATAGTATATGCAGGAGACAAAAAGGAAAGAAACAAAACAACAAAAAAAACGAATACAGGTACAATTAAAAAAGTCAAGCCCAAGATTTAGAATTTTTAAAAATTAATCTAAAATTACATCAGAATCCATGCCTGTTTTATCAATTATAAAACAGAAAAAGTAGTTCAGAGTAAAGGAGTACAACAGTTGAAAGTAGAAATTAGTCTGTGCCATTTTAAAAATAAAAGCTTAATTTTTTTCATATAAGTGATTTCATATAATTGTCATATTTTAAAGAAAGTTATTTCAGAAATGACATTTTAAAAGGCACAAATAACTATACAAGATAAAAGAGAACCAAAAAAGATATAAAATAACCTAATTATCTGGAAATATCATCTCTTTCCTCATGTGCTAACTGTAATATATTAGAATGTTGTTAGAATCTAAGAGTTAGCAAATATTGGATGCTGCAACTTATCTCACCATTCCTTTCAAGCAAGAGAGGGTCAGAATGTTTCTTGCCTATATCTGCAAAAGATCGAACAAGGGGAATCCGACTGGTAAATCTTTTCTCATTCTGATGATGATGTCTCTTCAGAAGAGCTTCTCTGACATTCTCTCTTATGGACTCATCTAACTGACCGGAGGCTATCATGTTGTCTAACACCATATCTGTTCAAAGGAAAAAACAGTTATTGTTATTAGACAAAGAAATAACAATAGAGATAAAATTTAAGGGAAATCTCAACATGAGATCTTTAAATAGCTCTAGAAAGTATTATTTGTTCTAATACTGAATACATGCATAAATATGAATATTATCCATATGACAAAAGTGAAAATTACAGAGAAACACTTATTTTACTATAAATACCATTATTTACAAAGAGGCTACTCTTACACATTAATAGCTTTCCCACTTTTAACAGTGCTTTCCTATATAGATGAAATAAATTGTTTGGCTGAATTTTAATGACATTGGCTCTCCAAGATACAAAGCTAATTTACTGGCTCATCTCATATCTTTCCCAAAAACCGTTCTACTAGATAAATACATGGACCTATTCATTCTGTTATTTATTTTTTTTACTGAGTACTTACTATGTATTGAGAATACAACAGTTCTGCCCTTTTTTCCAGAGGTAGAAAAAACAATGAGCAAATACGTAGATAAAATATCACGAATAAGTTCTAGGAAGAGGAATAAATCAGGCTGTGACAGGGTTTTGGGAAATGAAGAGACTGTTGGCAATTTTATACATTATCATGGTAACTGTATTTTTTTTTTTTTTTTTTTTTTTTTGGTACCAGGGATCAAACTCGGGCCCTGGTGCTTGCGAGGCAGGCGCCAGAACCACTGAGCTAAATTCCCAGCCCTGTACTTTTAATTTATAAATTATATGTAAGGATTTTTAAATAGTGATACTAAATTGAGATTGCTTTAAAAAGTCAAATTTTCAAAACTGTAAAATTACTCCAAAAAAAAATTGAAGAGCCAACCTCACAAGTAAATTCTAACAACATAATGATAACAGCTTACTCTCAAGTGGACTCCAGACTATACCATGATTAGTGAAAGTATGTACTACATTGTATTACATGGTAATTGCAAATAAAAAAAAAAAAAAACCCTGTGTCCACATTCAATATTCCTCACATTAACTCAATTTGTTAGTCATTCATACAAGTACCCACTTTGGTAATTTAAACATCTGTAGCACATGGCCAAATCCAACAACCAGGTAAAACTGAAGTATTTCTAGCCTAAGAAATCCCAGTAAGTTTATGGTTCTCTAAACAACTGAACACTACAGACTGTTTTGTTTATCTAAGGGAGCAATTTATAGCAATAGTTTCACTGTCAAACTCATTACCACTTCACTTGATTTGGGTTTTGAGGACTGGTAGTGATCAAACAACTGTATCACAGCTGTCTTTTTCCACTTTCTTCTTACTCATAATTCTCCAAATTGCTCTCCATTTCCACACTATACCTATCACAGATCAGGTCATCATCATTTCTTGCTTAGACTCTTCTAAAAGAGTAACTACAGAACTTGGTCCTAACCTATTCATAATGCAAAGCCACCTTAGAGCTGTGTGTGGTAGTGCACGCCTGAAATCCCAGCTACCTGGGAAGTTGAGGCAGGGGAATCACCAGTTTATGGCCATCCAAAGCCAACTTATAGTCTACTATCAGAATAACCTTCCTGAATAATACCTCAGGATCATACTAGTCCCCAACTTAAAAAGCACCAACACTGTCAAAACAGCTACCAAATACAATTTAATTTCTTATCCCTATAATTCAAGATTAATGATAACCTATCTTTAACTTATTTTCCCAATATGTCTCCTCCATTTGTTCAAGAAATCTGTGTGCTCTTGGGAAAATGACTCATGTCTCTACAACCCTAGACATTTCCTCCTGCCCTGCCTCTTCCTTAGAACATTTTGCCTTGCACTATCTGTTCTTATTACAACTGCTCAAATTCTATGAGTAAGCTGAACAATTAATGTTCTGCGTAAATTTTCCTAGACTTGTTCCAAAAAGAAAAAAAAAAACCAACATAACAAAACTCTTTTCTTTGAAATTCCAGAAAACTATATTTATTCCAGAAAACAAACTATATTTATGGCAATAGTCATTCTCTTGATACTGTACATCCAATTCATTCATCTCTAAACTTGTCCCAGACAAAAAAGTGTTATCTTTATTTGTGACAATTCCTCATTCCCGGCAAATAACAGAAGTTCAATTAATACCTAAGATGTCATTTTATTTTCTTGATATAACATTGGGTTGTAACAACCCATCCCATATCTTTCTACTGTAAATTTGCACTTCAGCATAATAGTAGCCAGCTGTGTATCTTGGTAGCTGCACCTCAAGGATACAAAATGAAAGTATTCCTAGGTCTGCTGCAGTTAGCAGGGCTTTCTAATGGTAACTGCAGGAATGTAAAAGAAGTAAGGAAAGCAGTGGGTGTGGGCTTTACTTTTGTAGAATAACAATGAGAAGATTCGGTTTCTTTCAAAACTGCCTAAGGTTTGATGATCTTCTTACTATTTAAGATATTTGTGGGTAAATGTCAAACAATTCACACACCATCTGAATATATGACTCTTTTTTTTTTCTGACATCTCCTCTATCTTCTGGTTTTTATTGTTATATTTTATACGTTGTTTTATTACAATTTCCTTTTGTTATGTAACTGTAGTTATCAAAGCTTTTAATGCTTGTTCCATTTCAAAATCAATTTTGTATTAATCACAGTCCTTTTAATGTTGTATCTCTAATACTGAGTTACTCTTTTTTCCAGCTTTAAATGAGTTTATTGGTACATTTTAGGGATACAGTACAGTTACATTCATTATTGGGATCTTGTACCTCTACATGACAAGTCTTGGTTCTCATTTTTTCCCCTTGTCCCTGACTCTTGATGAACATCTTGCATCCTATCATGGTCACTGTAGCTTCAGGCAATATATACCAAAAAAACCTTCAAAATATAGCATAAAAATTGATTCCCTTATAGATGTGAGGACTTAATATGCCTTCAATTTAGAAATGTATCCTGGAACCCAGCCATCAGGCCCTTATTTATTAGTAATAAACTGAACAATGTTGTATACACACTTGTTGCTCCCATCTCCCAAACTAATCAAAATCTGACATTGGACAATTGGTTTACCAGTTTCCAATTGATGTTATATTTGCTAACAGAGCACAAGTTGACCAGGAACTGAACACAGGAACAAAGCAGAAATTGCAAATGAAATGATGCAATTTTAAAACAGAGAATTGTACAATACAGTCTTTGGATTTCCAAAAGATATAACATTGGCCTTGACTATGACAAAGAAAAACAAACTGGAACTGCTGGTGTGAACATGCACCATGATGGAACTACTGATAGGGAAGCCAACAAAATGGAAGCTTGAGATGGTAACTTTCTACCAAAAAACCAAAGGCAGGGTAGATGTTGATGAGTTATGCAGCAACTATGATGTCTCTACAAAGTGTTGGTTCATGATTGTGTTTTACTTGATCCTAAATATGTGGCATAGTTTGATAATTTACGAAGAAAATAACAAGTGCAATTCAGGGTTTTAGCTCAGTGGTGCCGCCACCTGCCTCACAAGCACAAGGTCTTGAGTTCGATTGCCAGTACCAAAAAAAAGAAAGAAAATAACAAGTGCAAAATATCTCAGAAATTTTCTTAGAGGACTGGTACTGGAACTCATAAGAGATCATTTACAAGAGAGGAAAAACAAAATGTTGTTGATCAGGGAACTACATAAAAAATTATGGAACACACTGTTGAGCTGACAGGTGAACAGGAAGGCACAGGTTCACAAAGCCCTACTATGACAACAAGAAAACCAAAAAGATGTCAACTATACCCTACAAAAAAGGTCAGGAAAACAAAACATACGTGCTATCAGTGTAAGTGACACTTGTATACAGAACATGTGTGAAGACTGCCTAGGGTGTGACAATTGAAGCAAAGATTATCTCTGTGGTAGACTTTTGTTTCTATTTACACTGTAGTTCACATAGGTTGGTTTTTTTTTTTTTGGTACCGGAGATCGAACTTAGGATCTTGTGCTTGCAAGGCAGGTGCAGTGTCACTGCACTAAATCCATGACCCCATAGGAATTTATCTCTGATGTTATTTTTTAGGTTTGGTAAGCAGGTAAACAGCTGATGTGAAAATGTTGATGTCTATTCTAAGTACTCATTACATATTTGATATTTTATTTTATTTTTATTTTCCTAAGTACACATTGTACAATAGATAAGAAGCTCCTGACACAAAAGAAAGATGAGAGAGGTGACAAAAAAGATCTGCCATACAGGTAATTGAAAGCTAAGCACATGTGCTGTCAGTGCATGAACACATAACTGTCATGTGTGAAGACTGCAATGGATGTGACAATTTAAGTAAAAGTTATTTTTGGTGTAAAGTTCTAGTAGTACTTTCATTCTGGTTCATATAGAAATTTACTTCTGATGTTATCTTTTAGGTTTCATAAGGAAGTACACAGCTGATGTGAAAATACTGATGTCTAAACTGGCAACACATATTAAGAATTTAATAATTTGTATTACTGATATTTCATGTATGTGTTAACTACACATTGTATATAATAATAAGAACTTCATGTCAAAACAGCTAGTGAAATATCTATTATGTCCTACAAAAAGGCCAGGAAAGTAAAACACATATACTGTCATTTTAAGCAACACATATGTATGGGACATGCTGTTGTCTTGTGTGAAGACCATTTTAAGTGTGATAACTGAAGATTTTTTTGGTAGGGTTCTTTTGGTATTTTCATTGTAGTTCATTATCAGAATTTCTATTTTTTTTTTTTTTTTTTTTTTTTTGGTACTGAGGATCAAACTCAGGACCTTGTACTTGAGAGGCAGATGGCTGCACCACTGAGCTAAATCCTCAGCCATTATTGGATTTATTTCTGGTGTTATTTTTTTAGACTTTGTACACCAAAAAACAGTCAATATTGAAAATTTTCATGCTGTTTAATAAACAATAAATATTAAAAATTCTTTGTTTTGGGGGGTATTTTTCTGCTAAGTACTCACTGCTTAAGGTAATAAAACTCATTAAATTAAAATCAATAATTAATCAACAGAAATATTCCAAAGAATAAACTCAGGTATTACATACCCACAACAACGCACCTTTATGACAAAACTCGTTATGCCCCTCAGATTATCTCTAGACAGCATACTTTAAATATAAGAAAATTACCTGCTATTTCATCTAGAGTGCTTGCTCTCATATCCAACATGACTGTTCCATTTAGAATGCAGCTCCTTAGCTCAAAAAGACTGTGCAAAGACAGAGTTGCCACATAAGGTTTACTCCATCGGTCACCACCATCCTCAACATCCTCTTCAAATTTTAGCCATCTGAACAAATAATAAGAAAAATTTGTATAAAAAATATTTCATGTGTTTTTAATATGATAAACATAAATTTGTTATCTTTAAAAGAAACAAAGACAATCACCACCAGCACAGAATTTTCATGACAAGCACATTTTCACAAATAAGGCCAATGGTCTACAGTGGCTATGGTCACACTTAATAGTCTAGCTATCACAACAATAAGTTTACATAAACAAAAGTAGGGATTTTAATATACCACTACCTTCTAATCCTCTTTTAAAATACAAATCTTTACATAAGATTTTAGTATATGTGCCAGGCCTAAAGAGCTTGTAGTTCCTAAGTTCCTAAATTTTCCTCAATTCATTCCAATATAAATTCAGGAACCTGAGACAGGAAGATCTCAAGTTCAAGGTCAGCATAGGCTATACAGCAAATTTAAGGCAGGACTGGATTATACAGTGAGACTGTATCATAGAGGAAAAAGGAAGACTTTGAGTTTTCAATTTTGAATTTCATTTGTATCATTTTAAGGAGTAAAAAAGAATTTAAGAAAAAAATTTGAGAATAGAGGTGTAAAATTAAAGATGAAATCTGTAGATATTGATAAGGAAATTCTCTGTGAAGTGTCTTAAAGCACCAGATACATCTCATAATTTCAATATTCTGATTATCAAAAAACAACAAAAAAAGTAAAGCTAAAACCAATTTTAAAATCTGAGACTCAGAAGTTTTACCTAGCAGTTTCTTTCCATTCATAATCTTCTCCATCTCTGTAACACAGTTCATCCATTTCTGTGAAGAGGTCATGGGGAATATGCTGTTCATCATCATCTTCAGTACCAAGAATGAACTGAACTCTCTGTGATGGTGTGTCTTGACAAAATAAAAATTAAATACATTCAAAGTTTTCCTGAATTCATTCAAATATAAATTCAATTTAGAATTTCAAACACTTTTGTTTTAAACAAACCTATTTCAAATCTTTTTTCTTTTAATTATTAAGATATTATAATTTTAGAAGAAAACCAGGACCAACAATCCAGACTCCCCCGCAAAATCACAAAATGATTATCAAAAGCAGAAAAAAACATTAAAAATAAGTCAAACTAAGTTTATAGCTAATCTAAAAAAAAATTAAAATAAGCCAACAACCCAAATTATTAGAAACTCAAAGCTACAGAAGGTAACTTATCCTACAATGATAGTGAAGACTGTCAGCTTGAGTTGGAGGTAGGACAAATCACTGCAAGAAAAGATATTTCATTCATGGCCTCAGAGACTAATACACTTGTGTGGTACAGGATCCCCAAAGACAGAAATGAGCATAAATAATTCAGGACAGGAAAAAGCCTTAAGACTTGCAATTAAAAGCAAAATGAAACTCTGCTGAACATAAGAGATAAACTGGATGCAACAGACAAGATATTAGAACAGGTTAAGGACCAGATTAGAAGGAATTCTTAAAAGGAAAAGAAAAAGAAAAGAAACAGAAAAAAACACAGAGGGAACAAAATACAGAAAAAGAAACAAAGACAAAGAAGGAAAACACAAAGGATTAAGTAAAACGAAGAACACAATAACTCCAAGAAGGAAAATATAAAACAATAGGAAATTCAATCAATTTTCCTTGTTCTTCATAGATCTCACTGTGATCCTTCAATATGCATCACAATACATACTGGAAATTTTTCAGATAGGTTTTGGGTTTATCATTTTTTTGAATTTGAACATTTCTTTTTTCATTCATCAAAAATGTTTGGAAATGTTAGATAAAATCGAACATTTAAAATACAGCACAGTTTTGTAGTTTTACAAACATAGTTTAATAAATACCATTTTTTCATCCCTGAAAATACCATGTAACTTTTTATTCAGTATGAATTACAGAAGTATAACTGATCTACTCACATAAGAGCCTAAGATATCCTAAAGTGGATAGGTACATCACATGGAACAGAAAAATTCTTCTAAATTACTTAATATCGTCAAAGTTGACTAGCGATGCTTTCTAAATTCAGTATTCATTTTTGCTTTGCTAGCTATATGACCTTTGCCAGCAACATGACTACTTAATATTTTATTAGATCATCAATGTCTCAGCAAAAGCTAAGAGATTCCTTTAGCCTCTCTGAGTTAAAGTTTCCTTCTCTATAAAATGAAAATAATAATATCTATTTTGAAACTTGAGAAATGGCTAAAAGTGCAGCTAAGTGCTAAAGTACTTGCCTAACATGTGTGAGGCTTTAGATTCAATCCCTAGAACTAAAAAAAAGAGAGAGGGCCGGGGATTTAGCTCAGCGGTTTGGTGGCCTGCCTTGCAAGCACAAGGACCCGAGTTCAATCCCCGGTACCAAAAATAAATAAATAAAAAGAGAGAAAACAACAACTGTTGAGAAGATTAAATAAAGGAACGCGTGTCAAAGCCCAGTTGATATTTACTTGGCCAGCCAGGTGTAATTATCCATGACTTTAAGCACAGCCCTCAAGAGACTGAGGCAAGAGGATCATGGTCAGCCTGGCCACCTAGCAGGCCAAAATGCAAATAAATAAATAAAGAATACAAAACCTGGCCATCAGAATCCAATTTTCATGTTGTAGCTGTATTATACACAGTAAGTTTGTCATTCCATGTCTCTTCATAAAAACTTAGCTTTAGCATAGCACAATAGGGCCAACACTGGTAGAGTTTACATAACTTTACCAGCCTCATGGATAAGATCTTCTAGGCAAAAAAAAAATATGGCTTTAAAAAGGCACAAAACAAACAACAAAAATGCCAATGCATTCCAGGAGCCTTAATAGTCTAGGTATCTATTCATCACATATGCAAATACTGAAATATATAGCAGAGAAAAGGAAATAAAACGCTAATAAATTTGAAGGTGAATGACAAGACTTGACTTTTACAACTGTAAGGCTAGAATACAATGAAGAAACAAAGTCCTTATTTTTTTTTAAACTTACACTGAGGAGTTCTTAACCTATTAACTATTAACCAAATAGTTGCCCTATTTTAAAAAATCTTACTTTAATAAGTATCCCCAATATATGTAAAGTTCCAAATTACTGCAGATATGCAGCTGTTAAAAGAAAAGATACTATCAAAATATAAAAATACAAGATATTTCCCTGGAAAAAAACTAAACTATTAAAGAGAACTATTTTCTCTTACCATAAGAGGAGATTCTTACCATAAGAAGGAGATTCCCGTCCATCTTCCTTATCTGATTCTTTATCTTTTCTTCTCCGGTGGTGATGTTTGTGTCCACGATGTTTATGACGTCGACGACTCTCTTTACCAAACGGTACATGAACACCAATATATACTGCTCGGTGACCTATTAACAGATTCAGAAATATATCACTAATTTTTCAAAAGGGAATAGTATGGTATTCAAAAAGTACACTAGGATTTACTCTAGTAACAAAGAATTACATATAAATTAACATAATTAACAATGTTACTTTGATAATTTTATAGAGCACCACACAGAATGTTATGCCTAGAGCAACATCCAAATTAGTAAGAGCTACAGTAAATGTAGATGATCCAAATACTCCAATTAAAGGGTAGAAGCTGTATGAATAAATAAAAAGCAATATAGTTGCTTACATGCTTTTGGAATAGAAAACACTACTACTGATGCTGCATTATCTTGACTTTCTATTCTGACCAAAACAAGTTATAATTGGCAGTCTCTGAATTCGCCCATTAAATAAAACTGAATCAAGAAACCAGAGTGCGCAGGTCTATGTCAACTATTGAGAGGCAAGAAGTTGATTTCTTTACAGTTTAAATGAGGGTTCTCTCTGTAGTGAGTAAAGAGGGCCATGAACTAACTGTTCAACTGATATACAACATGCAAAATGTATCTGGTATAGAGCTGCCTTTTGTCTTTATATACAAAATTTGAAAAATATAATGAATTACGAAGTTGATGACACTCTTTTGCCAACAAATTCCATAACATGGTCAGAAAATAAATACTTTTAAGAACATTTGCATCCTTAGATGAGATTTAATCATACAGTTGATTTTCAACATTTTTTGATTCTATGCTTGCAAATCTGCTGATTCACTAAAACTTCCTTGTAACCCCAAAATCAATATTCATGAAGATTTTGAGGTCACCTGTGAACATGCAAGAACAGCAAATTACTTTGCCTGAGGTTCATGTTCCCAGCTAAGGTTAAAAAAGTTACACTGAGGTTTTATTTCGCTTGCCAATGGTGACATATACCTGTAATCCCAGCTATTCCAGAGCCTGAGGAAGAAGGATCACAACTTTGAGGCCAGCTTGAGACACTTAGCAAGATCTTCTTGTCTAATTCATAGTACCCCCCAAAAGAGCAATTTTTAAAGTAAAAACTGGATATATATGGAGACATACTGAACTAAAATTATTTGTTTCAACATCTTCTAGAACCTAGCACCTCCTAGAACATAGTTAGCACTCAATAAATGTCTACAGGAATTAAATCCGTTAGAAAAAACATTTTACTAGAAATTCCAAATTTAAAAGCAGATGATACAGAGTTTCTTTTAAAGATGACAGGAATATATCTGGGTTTAAGAGTGGTATTAGTTGAGCCAAGCACGTTTGCATATACCTGTAATCCCAACACTCTAGGAGGCTGAGACAGGCGGATACAGGATTTGAGCCCAGACTGGGCAACTTAGTAACATAACAAGATCCTGTCTCAAAGTAAAAAACAAAATTTAAAGGGCTAGAGATGTGTCTCAGTGTGAAGGCCCAGGTTCAAATCACAGTAAGACTGAAAAAGGGAAGGCAGGGCGGGAGGGAGGAAGGGAGACAGAGAGACAGACAGATGGAGGACTATGGTTGAGGCTGAATGACATACTGAATGTAAGCAATGAACTGCACACTGTAAAATGGTAAATGTTATACTGTGAATTATATTCTAATAAAAAAGTAATGTTGGGCTGGGGATTTAGCTCAGCGGTACTGCACCTGCCTTGGTTCTGAGGTTCTGAGTTTGATCCTAGGTACAAAAATAAAAAGTAATACTATAACAACTGTGATTTTATCATTTTATTTTAGTGAAACTATTTCCTGCTGAACACCAAGAAAAATACATAATAAAACACATAATAAGTTTCCATCACTCTGCACTGGGAATTACAAAGCTGTTATTCAGGGCCGGGGATTTAGCTCAATGGTTCTGTCACCAGACTCGCAAGCACAAGCACCCGAGTTCAATCCCCAGTACCTCCCCACGAAAAAAAAAAAAGCTGTTATTCAAATTTGTACTAATGGTCTTGGTAAAAAACTGCAATGCACCACAATAAAAATAAACTCTGAGAATCTGCAGTTTAGAAAGACTAAGTAAAATAAATAAGAATGTATGAGAATCCGATGATTAGGAGATTGAACCTTTCTGCATTTATTTTTGCTCTAGTGCCCTCTGTTACAATATATAATATATAGTATCCCTAATAAGCCTAGACTTCTGAAGTCACTTTTGTCAGTTTAGAAAAATTTCAGATGTTAATGAGAATTCTTATGTCTCTATTTCTTTTAAAATCTATAAAATAGTCTGATATAAAACCAGCTATCTCAGATTTTAATAACAAAAAAAGCAGTTCCTTAAAAGGCCTCAAAATATCCACAAATCATTTGCCATGAACAGCATTTAGCCAAGTATTCAGCCTCACATCATTAAGAGCAAGTCATGGTGATAGCACAAGTCCACAGATAAGAATAAAGCGCACATATTCCTCCTGCAGTCCACCATCTATAGTCCATAACCACACGAAAAACCCAAACTGAGAATCACTGAAGGAAATACCTCACCAGTCCCCTTCACAAATGCCAAGGTCATGAAAGACAAGGAAAGAACGAGAAACTGATAAGGTTAGAAGACTAGGAAGACATGACAATTAAAGTACTACTATAGGGTCCTGAGCTGCAGGATCTACTAAATCATTAAGCAGAAAAAAATCAGTAGGGTAAAAACCCAGGAAATTCCAAATCAAATTTGCGGTTTAATTAATAGTAAACTAGTAACTTAGCAATTAGCTACTATTACCTGTATTTTCACAAATACATGAAGACATTAGTAATGCCTGGGCAAAATATGCACAAGAATGTTCCATACAACCTTGGCAAAGCTATTCTGTAAATCTAAAATTATTTCAAAGGATAAAGAAAAGAAGCCATTTACTAGGATTCCTTCCCACTCAGGGAAGAGACCTTTTGGTACACATTTTTGTGTAGAAGTTACCGCAGCATATTAAAAGGCTGCTGTAACAGACCTATAAAACAAGCACTTAAGATAACAACTAATGATAAATATGGCTTATTAGTCTGGAACTCTAGCTTGCTCATAATACAAATTACCAAGCTACCAGATGTTAAATAGGTAGGTAGGTAGGTAGGTAGATAGATAGATAGATAGATAGATAGATAGATTAAAACAATTAACTCATTTTGAAACTGTGGTCTTTCAGTTTTCCAGTAATGGTAAGTATCTGTGAAGTCTGAAAGTCTTTCTCAAATACATCTTATGAGAATACTTTCACAACAAAGAGTAAATAACTCAGAAATATTCTAATTTTAGACAGAGCTAACATTTATATGGATGTTAGCTGCAGGATGAAAGTATACTAGAAAAATGTTCAGCATTCTTCTAAATACATATTCTACCTCACAACAACAAAAAGAGTGTTTCCAAAAACAGGTAGGTAGAGCTTAAAAAATACTAGCAAACCTTAATTAGAAACTCATTCTGCTAAGCATAAGTTGTTTTAAACAAACTTACTTTCTAGTTCTTCTTTTTCAAACTTGGTGTTCACAGTTGAGCTGGTTTTGCCAAGATCCACAACAGCTTCTTCATCAGGACCCTAAAACAAATTATTCTTATTTACTCATAAAATCAATAAAACACTGAAGACCTACTATAAACATTTGAAATTGCCAAAAAGTATGAAACAGACTGTTTCCTCTCGAAGAAATGAATTTTTCACATTATTCTTTTTAAGGTATGTTTATAGGTTATTTTTTAAGCCCACAGAGACTATTAAAAAAATCTCAGTGAGAACCAATGTGGTGCTTGGCCATGGTGTAATCTCAGCTCTCTAGGAGGCTGAGGCTGAAGGAGTGTAGGTTCAAAGCCAGCCTGAACAACTTAGCAAGACCCTGTCACAAAATTAAAAAATAAAAATTTTAAGGGGGAAGAGATGTAGCTCAGTTGTTGAGAGGCAAGACTCTAGGTTTGATCTCCATGACCACAAAGAAATAAAAATAAAGAATTGAGTGGCAAATATTTTCAATGACTTTCTGCAGATGGTACTAAATAATCCACTTCATCTTCAATAGAAAGCCTTTCCAAGATCAGAAACTGAAGAAAATCTGGTGTGAGAGGAATCCCTAGGGGTCGATATAGAAGATTCTTATTGAAATTTTGCTCTTAGATCTTCTACATTGAAACAGCTATATTGGATTGGATTATAGTTAAACATAAAAATGTTAAAAGTGGACTTGATACATCATACCACTTTCATTTAGAAGTTAACTAAAGGCCAATACAAGGTTAGAAAAATTTTCAGAAACCCATGAAGGAAAAGCCACGCCAAATATCAAACTATGGAAATTATACCTTACCTTTCAGTTGAATATACCTTTCACTTTTATAAATCTATCTTTTAATTTTGTTCCAGTCTTTTGCCAGAACATATTTATTGTAAAATATTACATGGACTATTTTTAAAAGAATACAATTTTAGCCAGGCATAGTGGCACATGCCTATAAACCTAGCACTCAGGAGGCTGAGGCAGGAGGATCACTGCAAATTCAAGGCTAGCCTAAACTACATGGGAAGACACTGTCACCCAAAAAAAAAAAGAAGAATAAAATTTTAGTTTCCCATTTCAACTAACAGCTTTTAAAAGGAACACTATAATTATCAACTACATATTATGAACTTATTATACACAATTCTGTACCACAAATCCAAACAGATGAACAAATCTCTTTCCTTCAAAAGTTTCAGTCTAGGCTCATGAACCCAGGTGCCGGTAATACTAGACCTGTGTCACCATGGGGCTGCTGGGACTGTGAAAGAACATGCTTTGTTTGACCTTTAGCAGTGCTGAGCATGAAACTTAAGGCTTCTCGGAACACACAAAGTAAAATTACATGTAATTCCTCAATATCTAAACTCAGTGCCCAAATTCTATTTAAACCCAGGAATTTAATCAATTTGCTTAAATCTTCAAATCTCTTACTATTGAAACTTTCACTATTTGCTACTCAAAACTCACAATCAGAATATATTATACAAATATAGGTCTTCTGATACCCAAACTTACTGTCTGAAGGCTAGATATTCAAACAACAATCAAGTAGATTTGGATATCAAAATATACTTGAATATGACACTGAATATTTGGTGTTAATTTAATATAGGAAACTCAGGAAAGTTAAATAACTAAGGCTCCATACATAAATAAGTAAAAAGCAGGCTGTACAGACCATGGACAAAGTCATATGATGAACTAAGAAGACAGGCAACAGTATGTATGATTCATCAAACTGCCACACAGTTCTTCATAACTCCTTAAAGAAAAGCCAAAGTAGGAAAGCAAACAAAAATGCCAAAAATGTCCAAGAATTACTAATTAATAACTGCCACCCATTAAACAAGTCACGTTCTCAAACCTTTACTTATCCTTCAATGACTGCATGTCATTTACTTCCTAAGCATGAGCAAATACAAAAGACAAGATCTCTTCTAAATAAAACAGACAGAGGTTGTATCCTGAGAGGGAGCATGCTGTCTACTGTAAAAAGGATTAACTGTTCCCATTCCAAACTTGTAGCCTGCACAATTGCCAGAAAAAGAAGTAAAACAATACACTTAACCTCTCACGTTCAAACAAAATTGTTTATTTTTACACAGCTATACTTATATATTCAGATATACTAAATAGCTACTAAATATACTAACCACTAATCAGCCAACTAATACTCAAAAATAGCTTAAATTGCTAGGCAGGTGGTATATGTCTGTAATTTTAGCCCTCAGAAGGTTGAGGCAGGAGGATTACCACTAATCCGAGGCCAGCCTATGCTACAGTGAGTTCAAAGCCAGCCTGAATCACACAGCAAGACTCTGTCTCAAAAGACAACCCCTCAAAAACTGTTTAAAAGTTACAGGCTGGAAAGGTAGGAAAGTGGTGGAGTGTTTGCCTAGCATGCATAAAGCCCTGGAGAGTCAATGCCCAGTGCTACAAAAAAAAAACTTTTAAGTTAGACAATCCATTATTGACTTTATAATTCATTAATATTTATTTGGCTACAAGTATTATATTTAATTAAAATACAAATACCTTTTACCTTTAACCACTGATCAAAGAAAAATACTCCCACAAAGTAGAATATAAAAAGAGGATGCTATAGATCTTTCTCTCATGGTCTGCCCAGCTTGCACTAAACACTATCTGTGACACTTTGAAAAAGTCATTAAAGTTCTCTGAACCTTTCTTTTCCTTGGGATAAGTTTTTTTGTTTAGTGTTGGCATTCTGATACATAGACTCACTACAGTCCAGGCTGGCCTTATTAGGCATACACCACCATATCCAGCCAGTATTTTTAATAATGAAAAAGTGAAGACTAAGGAGGAAATCTCATACTAAGGAATAGTATGAAATAAATCAAAAAGGAGAGAGTATATTTAAATGAGCTGCTACGCAAAGATCTCAGGATAGATTAGTGAAAATAAGTGATAGAGAAATAACATAAGATCACATTTATGTTAAAAATTCACGTGAAAAACCAAACTTTATTTCTCTAGGTATATGTTTCCATAGTTGTGCATTTATATTAAATAAAAAGGAAAAGGTCTGATTGGACCCTTAACAAATTGTTAACCGCCCCTATCTGGAAAAGGAACTTAAATTTGAATAAAAACCAAGTCAGAATGTTACTTTACTGTTATTAGAGTTTTCAAAAAAAAGTTTTCAACTAGAATGTTTTCACATTTAACTTGCATAACAAACTAAAATTAATTTTTGGGGGGAGAGCTGGGGATTGAACTCAGGACCTAGCACTTGCGAGGTAAGCGCAGTGCCAATGAGCTAAATCCCCAACCCATAAAGTTAAAATTTTTAAAGTCTTAAAAATCTTAACAGTACTTACTAACACTGAAAAAAGAAGAGATAAATATGCATTTCTCCTTTCCCTTAAAAACTTTACCCAGTTTTTCACTGTGAAACAAGAAAAGTAGGATACAACTGTCTGCTGTAAAGATCAATGTTAAGAGGACCACATAAAAACTCAGCACACGTGTCGCTATCTATTGAAAATCCCTGAGCACAAAGCCACTGCGTGCTTCAAGGGGGCAATGCTTTTATGAAAAACATGACGTGTTTCAAGTACAACTCTACATGCCATTATTCCTCAATAAAGAGAAAGTAAAGATGAGCAGTGGTACATGCCTATCATCCAAGCACACTGGGATCAAAGAGTGAATCAGTAGGATCAAAAGTTTCAGCCAACCTGAGCAACTTAGTGAAACCCATCTAAAAAAAAATAATAATAAAAATAAATAAAAGGTTAAGGATATAGCTCAATGTCAAGACACTGGGTTCAATCTCTAGCACCATCAAAAAAAAAAAAAGTAAGTTAATACTCTGTGAGGAGGACAATTTCATTTGTCTCTTTAAAATTTACACAAAAAAATGTAAGCACACACTAAATCTTTGTGAAGAGAAACAGGACTGCTAATACTCTGATGGAAAGCACTGAAGAGCAAAGACAATCCTAGTGCTTCATTTTTTATTATAATGAACATTTTTATTGTTTAAAAATTCAAATTTCAACCTGCTAATATGTGAATTATTTTAAACACTGCATCTAGAAAAGACTTCTTTCACTTTTTAGCTCCAAGAATATAGTGGGCCTATATAAATAGCAAGAGTGACCCCTGACATCACAATGCTCTCTTCTTAGCTTTAGAGGGGTCACAACAGTTGCCACTTAGAAAGTCTGCCTAAAAAGAAATAGGTCATGGCATGAGGAGAACTCAAAAGCACAGAACAGTAAAGAGACATCCAAATTTCATCAATGCAAGGTATACTCAGTGTAATTTAAGAAATTTATTTAGTCCTGGTTTCAAAATTTTATTTATAAAATAAGGTCACTACCACTGTACTGTAACATGTTAATTATCCATATATGATCAAAGAGAAAGATTAAAATCTCCACATATGAAACGACAGGTATATGTGGTTATCATTTCAACAGTGTTGCTAACAGGAAAAAACTGGAAAAAACCCAGTGGTTTCTTAAAAAGAGGAATAGTTTAATAAATTATGGTACATGGTACAAGGGAATACAAACCACTGAACCACTTCATACATATGATTTTGAAACTGGGGTTAATTTATTTAGGATTAGAGTGAGTCAATCTTTCACTGATATAATTTGGGAGTCTTTTATTTCTCCCATGTATTACAAGTTTTCCTAGTGCCATGACTGAATTGAAATTTGAATTTCACTAAAGACAATTTGAATTTGATGACAAGTTTCAAAGGGCAGACAAAAGTTAAAAATGCACTAAATTGAGAATAGAACTCAAAGAAGTGTGAGGCATAAATAACGGCAAGAAATAGGCTCCAGTAACAATGAGGATTCAAGTTAGGACAAGTTATTGTGAGGTGCCTCTTCACAAGGCAAGTGGAAAAGCTTATCAAGGTTCCACAGAAAACGTACATCATAAACACTGCGCTGTTTCTATGAAACTTACTCCAAGTTTCAAACAACACACAGGAACACAGAACCCATCAAGACATACCCGGAAATCCTCTATTTTCAGGTTATCAAGTATGTACAAATTTATAGCAGATATGAGAATTTTAAAAACTATTTACAAAAATGACTCCTTTTATAACTACCTCTTAACTTTGTTAATAAGTAAAACATATAGAGAGGCACAGACATTCTGTAGAGAGGAGTGGGGGGACCACAAAGATTCACTGAATATATTTCAGGAAAAGAAGGTCCACAGATGTTCTGCCAAGACTTCTCATGCACAGTCTACTTTGGATTATCATTAGCTGCGTATTTTTAAGGTTCTATTACATCTTTCTACTGAAACACAACAGAAGATAAAGTGAGGAAATCTCTTGGTCATATGATCTTCTGTTTGCCTATTCTTCCCCCTTGCCAATGCTCCAGGTTCCCCAAGAATCTTACAGGACCATGAAAGAAGGCTCATTTCCTCAAAAGTCAGAAACTAAGGAATGAATCCATTCATTCAATAAATGAGAGCATCCTCTAAGGGTTACTCCACACACTGGGGATATATCAATGAATGAAAAGAAGTTACATAATCAAATGTCCTGCTTATCAGTTACTTTACAACTAGGATGTGACTCTTCCTGATAAGAATCATCCAGGGCTAATGAATAGGTCTTTTTTATTTTTTCCTTTGTACCAGGAACCGAACTTGGGTCCTTGCACTTGCAAAGGCAAGTGGAGGAACCACTGAGCTAAATCCCCAGCCTTCAGAACTAATGAATAAATGTAGTCTATAAGATATTGAATGGGCTTTACTTTTTCAGTTCATTTTTTGTTTAAATATAAAAAATGAAACATATACACAGAGTTTCAGTGACTTGCTTAAGATCACAATGTGAGTGAAAAAAAGTAAAATTAAAAGTCAGGTTTGTGGAATGCTTGGTATGTAAGTTCTTTATCCATGTAGAAAAAGGTCTCTGCAGTACATACTGAGAACATATGGCAGTTTTTAAATTAATCTATAATCAAAAGTGAATGCAACTGTCTGTCTCCCAGGCTGAAAAATAAGTTACAAGAAGAAAAGAACGCTCTCTGTAGAAGGGGAGAGCCGTGTCACTATGGCTTACTGTGACATTCTAGCACCAAGCAGCATTTGGTCCTGAATTCTCTAACATGTGAATGTTCAATATATTTCAAAGGACATGACACTTTCCTAACAATTTCTATTAGAGCCATTTAAAGATTCCTCTGATAAACACAATTAAAGCTTAAACAAACTAAAGTATTCAATACTTTAAATCATTTTTTAAACAAAAAAAGCCCAGCATCAACTTGTGATAAAGCTAAACTTAAATTAACAAATGGGAATCCAAGCAAAATCAAACAAATTTGGTTTTGCTAGAAACTGATTTTTATAATTATACAACACATTTTACTAACTCCTCTTAGTCATTTATCTTACCAGAAAAGTAATATCTACAACTTATAGGTTACTTGGTCAAACACCAAAAATGAGAATTAGCAGGGCAAAGGAATGTTAGCAAAGAAAAAGTGTTAAAGATTATGAATATATCACAAACCTGACATATTTTTTGACACCTGAGATTTACAAAATTATTATTAAAACAGCCACTGGGGACCCATAACACAAATTTGTATTGCTATTATATAAGACACACGGCTATACCCCAAAAGTAATAGCTCTAATAAATTATGATTATTAACTAGGTAATTTCACAGTGATCAAACACTTCAGCTTAGCTTTAAATTAACTTATCCATTCAGGTAAAGTGATTTCTTTCACAATTTCTTAGCTACATAACTTCTAAAGTCTCATTCAGTAATTTTAACTATGCTCAAAATTAACCTTATACAGGAATAAAGATGCTACAAACATTTCTAACTTTACATAGGATTTACTCTTTAGTAGATGACTTTGACAACCAAGGACATAGAAGATGATACTATTCTAAGCCAGTACTAATTAAGGCTGACATTTCTTCAAGCTTCACTAATAAACCTTTTAAGATTCAAGTTTGTTTATAAATAAAATACAAGATCTTAACTAAGTACATACAGGTAACTTCTTTTCCAGACGAAATCTTTCCATAATAAGAGAAATTTCTTGCTGTTGATAATGTAACGCAGTAAATCCCTTGAAGATTCCAGGGATTGTGAGTGCATATCTGATTTAGGTCATTGTGCTTTGCAGAGATGAACTCTTCTAAGTTACTTTTATGGTACAGCCAATCACTGTCTTGTAAGTTACCTAATCTTCCAAGCTAATAATTACAACTTACACAGGGTCACAGCACTAACAGATCTGAAAAGTAAAGCAATACACACATTTAAAAATACTAAAAGAATGTAGCAACCAGTTTCCAAGGGAAATCTTTACACAATGTTAGTATAAAAGAGAACATACTCTAAAGATACAGGTGAATATATAGGTATATGTGTGTGTGTAGACAGACAGATGTGTAGTAACTTTCAACAAGTTTTTCACTTAATTCAGGAAAGACCCCAAAATGATTTCATCTGAAAAGAGCTATGCCCTTTTTAAGTCTTACTAAACTTATGCAAACCAATCTGTAACTATATTAATAGGATTAATAAATCATATTATCATTTATAATTATCATTTTAACCACAGTATTTATACAGATAACAGTTAGGATGGAAAAAGGAAATGAGAGGCACCCTTCTAACTTTGGGACTTAGGATTTCTTTACATTCTTAATTACTAAGGACTTCAAAAGGCCTTTGCGTATAAAAACTATCCTAGATTTACCACATCAGAATTAAAACTAAGAATTTTTTTAAGGATCACTTAAAAAAACAAACCATTACATGTAAGAGACATAACATCTAATGAAAAATAACTAGCTTCAAAACTAAAATTTTAGGGCCGGGGATTTAGCTCAGCGGTTCGGTGGCCTGCCTTGCATGCGCAAGGACCTGAGTTCAATCCCTGGTACCAGAAAAAAAAAAAAAAAAAAAACTAAAATTTTAGTAAAAAGCTCTTTACTATCTGACTTACGAAAACTAGATTTTCACTTTATATATACTTCTGCAGTCATTCTAACTTGGTTACTGTCTATTTAAAGATCCAGGTGCCCCCAGATAGTCTATGCTCTTTTAAAGTAATTATAGATACTGGTCTGCTTCTCACCAAATTCAACTCAACAAGTATAATTTAAAAAGGAGAGAAAGAAGTAGGAAAAACTACACAACAGGGACAAAATGATTATGCAAGAATACATTAAGTTACACAAGAATACACAAGAATAAATTTAATCTAAAACTAAAATTTTACTGAAAAATATTAAATGATGAGATAGACTACTATGTTCTGCTAGGTGGACAGATTTAAATACACAAAATAGCAAAAATAATAAATCTTTCAAAGTTAATGTAAAAATTTACAAAGTGACTCAGAATTCCAAGAGTGTTTTTTATTAACCAAAGTAAATAACTTCCATAAAAACTAGACGTCCCAATAAAAATCATGAAAAAAAGGGACCACATAGTTTAACAAATACTCAAAATACATTACAAAACTATAATAAGCAAAAACATCAAGATAGCAACACAGGAAACATTTTATGCAGTACAAAGCAGAATCAAATAAATAAATATACACTACAGTAGAGGAAGACTAGTTATTAAGCAACAGAGCACATTTGGCTCTCCAGATTTTGATAAAATTTTAAGGATTTACTTCAAACCATAGGTAAAAATAAATCCTCAATGAACTAAGGATAACTGAAATAGCAGACTTTAGAATTTATATTTTTTATATTATTGTGGAATGATCTATTCTTAGGTAAGATCCATAAAGGATACTAACAAGGGTAGGACTATAGCTCTATGATAAAATATTCGCTTAGTACATGGGAGGTATGGGTTTGATCCCCAGCACTAAAAAAAAAAAGGCATATAGATCTTTTATTATACCAAAAATTAAACAGTATTTCTCTAAAGCAAAGAACACCATAAACAAAATAGAGACAAGCACATGATGGAAACACATGCACTATGATAAACATAGTACTAAATAGTTCTCACACATAAAAAATTTCTTCATTCAAAGGAAAAGAAAAAAATGGAAAACATGAACCGAGTAAACTTCCCTTAAGAGAGTAATACAATGGCCAGTAACCAAATGGACATTCTCACTAGTGGTTCAGCAAATGCAATTTAAGTCTCTTTAGATAGATTACACACACACACATACATACACATACATATATATGTTTATATAATCTAAAATTAGTAACACAGACACATAAATTCTCACTACTGTAGTGGAAATGTAAATTGTTCAAAACATTTTAGAGAGTAAGCAAAGAAGAACACATTTTTTTTTCCAGAAAGTTATCATTAATGTCTTCACTAAAAAAATAATATTCACACACAAGACCACTATAACCTTTTATCCAAGTAAAATATACAGTGGTACATCAACTATTCAAATGCTAACTCAAGCACCTGCATAGAAAAAACTCACCTTGATTAATTTTTTTCAAGTTTAACTATTTCTCCTTAAATAATTTCATTTCTATATTGGACAAAACACAACCACATGTATTTGTGCAAATTACCTTTAAGAACATAATACGGCTTAAAAGTAATTACTTCTACATAAGTTAAAAGCACATTTCCATGATCAATCTGCTTTAGCCATTACTTAGTTAAAATGAACACATTGCACATGTACAAGAGATATGAACTAAACTATTCTGCCTCAAATAGGAATAAAGTATTAGGAAACTATTAAAGCAACTTAGTTTCTAGGGATTTTGGTAAAGACGATGGACATTAAAATATAATTAAATACAACATCAGTTCTCTTAGCCCACCTGACATTTTTAAAGGATACACCTCTGGTATAGCATTATCCATTCTGGGTATATACCTCACAGAAATAAAAGCACTGAAATATAGTCAAGAATGTGTACTGTTCAAACTGGCAAAAAACAGAAGACAACTTGAAAGCCCATAAGGAAATGGCTGATTGCACTGCATAGTCTAAAAACTTATGAACGATGACAGAGAACCACTCACACCCAACAGATGTCAGGGCTGTATTACACAAAATTGCAATTGCATGTTTAATATGACATTTATGCTTTACAAAAGATAAAACCTATTTGTAAATATATATTTATATGTTCAAAGACAAAGTATAGAAAAATACATATGTTTGTCTTCTGTATTTCAACAAAGATCATGTGGCTCTAAAGACATTAAAATCTAAGCCTGCATACAGTGGTGCACCCTAGCAAGATGTTCATGAGTCCAAGACCTGCTAGGCAACATTGAAAACACCCTTTCTCAAATTAAAAAAATAAAAAGGGCTGAGGATGTAACAGTACTCTCTGGGTTCAATCCCCAGTACTGCAAAAATAATAATAATTCTACGGGTAATATTTAAAATTAAATATAATCAATGTTATTAAGATGAAATATCAGTGACATTTTAGTCTTTCAAAAATAACGTAATTCTTGCTTTAACTAGATACAATCGTGTGTGTGTGTGTGTGTGCTGCTGGGGATTGAACCTAGGGCATGCTAGGAAAGCAGTTCTACACTGAGCTATATTTCCAGCCCCCTTTTTATTTTGTTTTAAGACAAGGGCTTGATAAATTGCTCAAACTGGCCTTGAACTTGTGATTCTCCTGCCCTAGCCTCAAGTAGCTAGGATTACAGGTGTGCCACCTTGCCTGGCTACTGATTTTTATATACAGTAAATACTAGCAATTCAGTAATAGCTAGTACGACTGAAATTATTACCATGAAAAGCAAAACATAAAATCATTATAAGTCAGCATAAATTTTATCTTAATTTGATTTCCACAGATAAATTTGAAGCAAATAGTCAAGAAAAGACAAAAGAAAAACCCCTGTAAAACACTAGATAACCTGTCTCACTTAAAAATATGTTTCAGCAAAGAACACAGCCAGTCCACCTCCTTCACATGTGTAAATATCACTGCTGAGTTCACATGGCTTAATTTGGGCAACCATTTCAGTTTTCACCACCACTGAAACCTAGGTTTCACCATGTAAGATCACCACCTAGTGGCTGTGATGAGAAGCACAAACCTGCTCTCTGGTACTCACATGTGGTGAAGAGAATGCCTATCTAAAATGCCTGCTCAAGGCAAAGAAAGTCAAAGTTTGAAAAAGTCTTCTGGCAATTATTTTAAGAAAGCCAGACATTTAATTTAATTCAGGATAAAATATTAAGAAGGCAAGTACTAGGAAATATTTCACTTTTCTATCAGCCAAATGTGGGATATAGTGGAACTGGTTTTTTTTCATATGGGCATTTTACATGTAACACTGAATAATCAATGTGTATTGTCATAGTAAAGTAGATTTACAGCCAGTTTTTAAACAGTTCTTTCAAAAACCCATATCACTTCAAGAATTTTTATTTTTCACCACAGTTTGAAGTATAACCATATTCACTCAGTAGTTGAAAAATCTATTTCACTAATGAAATACAGTTCAGACAGAGCAAAAATTGTGCATCAATGTATTTTCAGAAATAAAGACATTATAATAAAAAGTAACAACTGCACTTGGCAGAGTATCTTTGTGTGGGTGGTTCTAGAGATAGAACCCTGGACAGGCTGGCTAGTCAAGCAAGCATTCTACCAACTGGGCCACACCAGTAGTCATCTTTCTTAAGAATCACACTGCAGGCCCTGGGGGTGCAGTTCAGGGATAAAGCACTTGCCTAGCATGCAAAAGCCCTGGATTCAAACCCCAACCCTGAAACAATACTTCATACTTAAATGCTATTGACAAAGATGACATAGTTCTATTTATATTTGCATTGAGAAAATACTAATTTGTGATTTTCATAAATGTCTATTACAAAGATATAGGTCTCACTAAATTACAATTAACAACAAAAAAAAGTAATTAAAAAATCTGACTGGTAGGAATTAAAATATAACTGAAACAATTAAATATGAAATCACCAAAGTCAAATTATGGTTTCCTATATTAACTCATATTTAAACTCAGATTTTCAGTAGAAACATGCTTTTTCTCACTTCCTCTAAGGCATTCAAATAATGAAGAGTCACTTCTCTTAACTCCAAAAACATATTCTTGGTCTTC